TAAACGTCTAAGTTTAACTTTTTCTTTCTCTAAGTTTAAACGGGAGACTTCCACCATATTCTCCATCATCTCGGTGGCCTTCGTCATTACTTTATCCAGCACCTGCATCGAATTGTCCATTTTTTCGACCAATTTTTTTTGCTTTTCATATAATATTTTGGTTCCAATTGGCAATACTGGACGGTTCTCTTCCCATGCTTTGGTCACATCTATATTCTCTCTGACTTTAGGCAAGTTCTTTTTCGGGATTGCACCTCTTCTTTCCATCTCCTTTTTATCTTTTGCTTCTATACGAAATTTTGAAATTACTATTTTTATTTTCTCTGAATGCATATATATATTATTCTTCTGGACTACTTTATTTTCAAAAAAAAAATACTCTCTTACCTCTATCTTTTCTTACTGTCTCCTCGTTTTTATCTTTTGCTTCTCTATCTATTACCGTGATAAAGCTGCTATCGCTGTCGTAGTCGACCAGCGCATCTTGGCCTTCTTCTTCTTCCATCTATATCGGGATTTAAATATCAACTGAACATTAGCATTCCTCTTTTGACAAGATAAACCAACATTCGTATTGACAAATAATAATTTACAATTTCTATCACTAGATCTCTTTCAGCGATAAAAATTTAATGCTTATGAGGCTATATAGAACGCACTGCAATTCACAATAACCCCAAAGCGAGAAAACCACGCGCCTCTGCAGGGCTATCCGCACGCGCACACCACTGTCCGTTGCAATCCCCAGCACTGCTGAAAAGATCTATGGGAGCTCGGGTTGATCACGCACACGCACGGGGCCCATACAAATTTACGCGGCTTCCCTAAACAGTAATCAAGCTACACCGCACAGCAAGTCATGCTCAATTACCGACCCGATACATATCGATTTCAAAAAAAATAAACTCATATAGAGTCATATGGAGTTTTTATACATACGCATACATTTACATGTATCGCAATCTAGCCATCTAGCATACGCATACATTTACATGTATCGTAATCTAGCCATCTAGCATCGATGCCATGTTGTTAGTCGAAATCGATTATGTGTTTGTGCGCGCTCAGCAACAAGTTCTGCGCGCCAAAAACAATGACTCTCGCCGTCTACGATCGGACTTCCGCGCGCCAAAAATTCCGCGCGCCAAAAGAAATGACTCTCGCCGTTCACGATCGGACTTGCACGCGCACGTCGCCGACTTGCTACCAAGCGGCATTTTTCTATCTCTTTTTCCTTCATTATTCTCTACTTCTTTATTACACTTTACACATCTATTCTCTAATTCTCTTATTACCATTAATACCTCTGTTTTTATTTCTCGAAAAAAATGGCAAAAACATCTATCTCCTTGTAACAATATTTATCGAACGAACATTCTTATTAACTGAGAATTCTCTCGTTTTGCTCGTCAGCAACGAGGAATATTGTTTACTCATCCTCTAATCTTCTAAATGCTTCTATCTCTTTCTATGCCCTTCGCCGGCGTCTCACACACTTCGTATATACACTTTCGTGCTATGTTCCTCACGCAGGGGAATCGTGCCCTGGGCCCATAACCTATTGGAAATATAATCAGGGACGACTTGAAATGTGGTGAGATGAGCAGGGAACACAACAATCTTGGTCTTTGTACACTCTGAATACTGTCTTTATTATATATAAGTATATCACACTCTGTAACTTAAACCGTAATCGACACGTCTGAACACGACGGTGATCGAGGCTCTTGTGAGCACCACTGATGCCCGCACGCACGCGTGGCGCGCCGAGTCGCGCCGCCAACCGGGGGCTGCCCTCTAGAAGGGCGGGAACTTATTGCTCGTTCAAAGTCTTCTCCCAACAAAAACATTTAAAAAACACTCTTTATCGTATACATAATTTTATTTGCGTAATATTTCAATATTGGAATTTCCTACATTTCACAACATTATCGTAACAGGATTGTGACATGTCAGCAATTTGGTCCGACCATTTTCATCATACACGTATTTAAAGGGCTGGCTCTTTCGTCGCAAACGATATAATATTGACAAAAGACAAAAAATTGTTGCGAATTTAAAACTTCCAATTAAATTGATTGATCGATCATGCTTATAATTAGCCACTGTATTTCTTGGCAAATACAACAACAATCGCTGTGATAACAATAAAACGTAACAATAGAAGAAACTTTCGGAATACAAACAATAACGTTTCTCTATTATTTTATAGTTCGATTTAAACCGAATATTTTAAAATTACATTCTAAAACATGAAAATCTTACATTTTAAAATTCAAAGCCTTTAAAACCCATCTATACTTTTTTCTAGTAATATACTTATAAACTTCAAATGCAATTGTTTCTAATAATTTAATTCCTTTTTATACAATTATATATATATATAATTCTCTTTAACTTATTCAATATTCAATTCCTACATCATGGATCTACACTTATTGTTAGAATTTCTGGATTCTGGAGTACAATATAATTTTTACTGAAGAATTCCTGACGTAAAACATTATCGATATAAAAAAAGAATTTAAAAAAATCTAGAAATTATATGTTATTTCTAGTATTTTACAAGATATCTGATATTGTTTTCTAAATTATTTTCAGCATAGTCCATAATCTTGAAAAAGATAAAATCACGATTATATATCTCTTGAAACAACAAGTTTCGAGAATACGTATCATTCAGTTATTCTCTTAAACATTCCAGGATCCCTAAATCCATATATAAATTCACTTGCATCTCTTATTAAAAAAGAAATGCAACCCTCGGCAGTTTCAACACTTTCCGATGAAAAGAATTCAACCAGTTCGCAAAGACCTTGCTTCATTTCGAATTAAGAACTGGATTTTTTCGCAGAGGTTGTTTTGGAAGAGGGAGGAGGACGGGATAAATGTATTTTTGTCGAGTCTTTGTCTCGCAATCAGTACAAATAGTTCATTGCGGTTCATCAGTCTTGCTTGTTCCTGAGGAACGGTTACTCCTCGATTTCCGTCCGAGTAGTCTACGGAAGGAGGAAGTCCATCTTGAGCGGGTAAGCCCGTCTCTTCCACTCGCGCCCTGATCGTTGATTTCGTTGCTGTCTAACGACTCGCTAACATTTCTGCTCTTGCCACTGCTACTACTGGTACTGCTGGCAACGTTGTCGAAACATCGCGATCTACGATCCCCTATCTCTGAGGAAAACCTAAACAAACAATATAAATATAAAAAACCAGGTGTGACCGAACTTTCATTATCGTCATCATCATTATTGTAATATTTGTTTTTAACTGAACAAACCCTGAATCCGAAGAAAAGGCTCTGGCTGTATGCGGGACGCTAGAAGTGGCCGACGAAAGGGATGGCTCGGCTATCGGAGTACTCGGATATGCATCATCGTCGTAAGCGCTGTTGCTGCTGCTAGTACTGCTACTGCAGCTACGGCTGTTAGTACTGCCGTTGCTGCTACTATCGGCACTGGAGTCGTCAATGTAAGAAATTTCCCGATCAGCAATAGACGATTCGATTTGTGGAATGCGAGACGAGCAGGCCGACGACACGGTAGGTCGTAACCAATTACGAAGATCTTGTAAGGGCGTTTGAAGGCACTGCAAAAGATTCCCACTGCAAAGAGCAAAGTTTCTGCGCTTAAAATAACATTTGCTACTTAATACGTTCGTCTTCAGACGCTGAATATGAGCGCATTAAGATCCTCGTTTTTCGCCGATAAAAATTTTGATATTACCCACTTGTCACGATAATTGTCAATGTTGGCGAAGGTGCGTCTAGCGTATATGCAGATGGAACATCGGCGACGATTCCGGCAAGACGTCGCGTGAAACGTCGCGGCACTCAAATGACGCGTCGCGTGTTTTAATGCAATAGTCTCTCTCGTTAATGCCGCAACGCCTTCTTCCCGACGGCGTCGCTCCGCTCCTAATTCGTCCTGTTCCACCCTCAGTCTCTGCCGCAGCATCTCATTCTAGAGGAAACAATAAAAAAAAAACCAATTTTTGATAAATGTTGCATATTATATGTCGAAAGACAGAGGCGCGTACGAGAAAAGCAAACCATTCGCGAATTCCAGAGAT